TTTTTTTTTTTTTTTTGTAATGGGAATTGAACTCAGGACCTTCTGCTTGCCAGGCAGGTGCTGTGCCACTGAGCTCTATCATCGGTCCTGTGTTTCAAAATGGATACATTCAGATAATTCAAAATTCAAAAAATATAAAGGGGTATGAACTGAAAAGCTCCCTTTTCCTCTGGAGGCAGCCAGTGTTACCAGCTTTCCTTCACAGATGTGTAAGATGATTACTGATGGAGTACCACAATTTTAGTAATTTTCATATACATTTCTACTCCTGTGAGATTGCGTACCCGAAGGCCCATCTGTGTTTTATCCATTGTATTTTGCAACACGGCAATCATCATTGACCTTGATAGGCCTGATATAGGGGTGGGCCTAATTAAGAGAGGGGTGAGGAATAATTAGGATGTGTAGAGCAAGAATTTGACCAAGAATTTGCCTAACAGGAATAAAGAAAGGAGATAGCTGGAAGGAAGATTGTTTGAATGTACTTAAAACGCAGATTTTCAAAAAGGAACTCGTGAGACCTTGAACTATGTTTAAGCTGCAGAGAAGCTGAGCATTGCCAATTACCACGACCTTGTGCAAGTCACTTAACCTCTGGGGGCTCATTTCCCTCTGTAAAAACAGGTCTAATAGTCCTCAGTACACAGAGATTAAATGAAACGCATTCAGTTAGCTTTTTGAGACTTCGGTAAAATATCATGCTGTAGGTCTGAGCAGTCTTTCTCTCCCCTGGAGCTCTATATCTTCAGGCAACTACGTTCTCAGAACCCGCTCCAGCCTCCAGGGTCTATGCTGGAATGGCGACAGGCTAGACCGGTGCGCGCACGCGCGCAGCGCGCAAGGCGTAGGGGGTAGGGGTCCGCGAGGGGCGGGGCTGCCGCCGCCTGGGCTGTTCCAACGATTGCGCACCGCCCCCGCCGCGCCCCGCGCCCGCCCTTGCTAGCAGGCACCTTCCGCCCCCTGCATTGCTGATGCTGCTGCTGCTGGCAGACATGGACGTGGTGAATCAGGTACGCGCTCCAGCACCGCGGACAGAGCCTGCTGCTTCCGACCCCCAGACTCAGAGGTGGTGCCTAGGGTCCTTAACAGCAGAGACCCTGTCCCCGGGGCTGGGGCTGGGGGTCTGCGGCAGGCAAGGGGAGGACGAGGGAGCGGGTGAAAAGAAGCATTGCGCTCTTTGCCGCAGCGAGGGCTGTCCTCAGTGCCGCAGCGGGGGCTGCCAGAAGCCCTGATCATTACTGGCAACCTCGAAGGGAGCAGAGGGGTCTCAGGGCTGGGGGGAAGGCAAGGGGCAAGGAAGAGGACAGTGGAAGGAAAACTGGGGGGCTGCAAGATGAGCTAGGAAATAGAGAGACAGAAGGGGTGGGGGTGGGGTGAGGAGGGCTGGCGCCCGCCCCTCCCAAAAACTGCACCCCAGTAGATGACCACCCCTTTTCCTAGAGGGGACCTAGGGAGACCCTCTGGTCTCCAGATATTGCCTCTCCAAAACCCCCAGGCTCCTCTCCCTCAACTCATCCAGTGAAACCGTGTCCCAGCTCTTCCCACCTTAGTCCAGACCCTCTCCGCCATCGCAGTCTTGCCACCTCGGAACCTTGCCCCCTACCTAGCGAGTACCAACTCGTCCCCATTCCCATCCCCTCAGATCCCCTCCACCATCCGACTCACCTTTCCCACTGCAGCCCCCTCCCCCATCCTAGCCACCCTGCCTGCTGCCTTGTTATGACTCACCTTCACCACTTGAGACCCTTCCCCCACCTCAGTGAACCCCAATTCCTTCGTCACCCTCCCCACACAATCTCTTTCCCTCTCTGGTTCACCTTTAAGGTTTTCAGACCTTCCTCACTAACTCATCCAGACCCCATCCTCACCTTCCTCACCCCTCACCTGCTCTGCTGTCTGACTCACGGTCACCCCACCTCTCCACCACTCCTGAACCCAGGGGTCTTCTCACAGAGACCCTGGTGCTCACATCTTCCCCAAGGTGTCACTTTTCCCTCACTCCCTCTACAAATGTCACTCCCTTCCAGAGGTCACATGCCCCATCCCCAGGGGTCACCACCTGACACTCTTGACCCTCACCTCCCTCTCTATACCCCACAACCCCACCCCTTCCCCACTGTTTCTCTCCTCAGCTGGTGGCTGGGGGTCAGTTCCGGGTGGTCAAGGAGCCCCTTGGCTTCGTGAAGGTGCTGCAGTGGGTGAGTGTGGTCTGGGTCATGGGGGCAATTCAGGGAGAGAGGGAGGGAGTGGATCCTGAAGAGCAGAAGCAGGGGGGCGGTGGAAGAGGATGAGGGAACTGGGCTCCAGGGAGAGGTCTCAGGGGTCCGAGGCCAGTGAGTGATGGGCTGTTGACATCACACAGGACTGAGGGTATGGTACCCCTGGTGTGAAGTGACAGAATGTGGCGTTCTACCTCCTCTCTTGAAGTGAGGGAAGGGGGGGAGGTGGAGCCTGAAGCCGATTACTGGGGAAAAGATGCAAAGCCAGAGACCCAGAGACAGGGAGGGAGACAGAATGAGACGGGAACAGATAGAGACAAAGTTGGAAATACTGAGGGGGGGAAAGATGAGAGAAGAAACAGAGAAAGATCTAAAGGGAAACAGACACAGGGAGGAAAGCAGAACATGGGGTGGGCAGAGAGAAAGAGAAAAGGAAAAACCAACATGCAAGGAAAGAGAGGAGACAGCAAGAACAATACAGAGACTGCATGAGAGACAGCAGAGACTTAGACAAACAGTCCGTACATAGAAAGACACCAATGTCAAGAAAGACAGAGAAGAAAGTGACACCCAGAGATGTGAGGACAGAGTCAGAAAGAGAATCAGAGACAGAGACATCCAGGAAAAATACACAGAAAGAGATACTGAGAGGAAAAGAGACACAGTGAGACACAGAGAAAACAACAGAGATGAGTGAGAGAGATGAGGGAGGGAGGCCAGAGCATGCAGAGGTAGGGAGCACATGGAGAGGGAAAGGAAGACTCAGCCACACCCCTATAATCAGCTTGTGCTTGGACCCCATGAGCCCTGATTAGGGGGTGGGGGTGGGGACTTCTCCATCTGCTGCTGCCTGTGCTGGGCTCCATCTGTCCAGAGGAGGGCACCACCCTCACACATGCACACAGGCTTTCTATGACCATCCCCATCCTTGCTACCCAAGGTCTTTGCCATCTTCGCCTTTGCCACATGCGGCAGCTACGACGGGGAGCTCCGGCTGAGCGTGGAGTGTGCCAACAAGACTGAGAGTGACCTCAGCATTGAGGTCGAATTTGAGTACCCCTTCAGGTGTGACCCCTCCCTAGGATGCCCACAGACCTGAGGAGGGGTGGGGGTGGGACTGGCGAGTGTACCTCCTTTCCAGTGGCCCTCGCCTACCCCCACCGCAAGGGAACACAATCACTGGGATCATTGCCCATGCACTGAGCACCTGCTATGTACCTGGCACTGCTCTGGATATGTGGGACCATGTGGTGAGCAAGACAGACACAGGCTGTTGCCTTCTGGCTCTTTTCTAGTGAGAGGAAAGGGTAGGAAACAGGCAATAAACAGGATTTAGAAGTAGCTTGAAGTGGTGGCACATGCCTGGAATCCCGGCACTCAGGAGGCTGAGACAGGAAGATCACCGTGAGTTTGAGGCCAGCCGGGGCTACATAGTGAGTTCAAGGCCAGCCTACACTACAAGATCTTGTCTCAAAAAAAAGGTAGGATGCCACCATGGGTGGGAAAAAAAAGTAAAACACAGGACTAGCCTTCTGGGTGCTGAGATTACAGGTGTGTGCCACCACGCTCAATGCTATTAATTTTTCTTTTTCTTT